GCTCAGTGGAGAAACTTGCGGGCTTTTAGAATCATGCAGAGAAGAAGGAATGAAAAAACAAGTGGAAACATTCACTCCACCTGATTTAGAGAAGATAAACATGAGTAATTTTACAGGAGAAATTACACAGTTTTATAAGAGGAATTGATATTGCTCCATTTCACCATAAAAGTAGAAATACCACTAATAGATGGAACTTTTAGGAAAATATATTTTGGTTCAATAAAAAAGAAGACATTCTAAAACTCCTGTTTGATGTTGTTCAAACACAGGGAAAATTATCACCTGGGTATTATACAGAGAAACAATTGTTTGATAGATACGGTAGGACATTCACGTTGTTTGAAAAATGTAATTCTATGATCTCATACACAAAAGTTACTTTGAATTAACTTAGGAGCATAGTTTTTTACTAAATTTATTGGGGTAACATTGGTTAATAAAAATATGTGGGTTTCAAGTGTAGTTCTTTGACAAAATTTAAATTCACCCTTGTCAGAATACATACTGCCCCTGTAGAGGGACAGAGAGCAGGGGTCTTCCCAGGACACATTAATCATAGACTTTATTTTCAAAGAAGAGTTACTATCGTCTCAAACATCATTCTAATTGCTCCCTGCTGCTACGCTGCTGGAAACTTGGTGTATGATGGATAGATACAGAATTCTAAGTCCAGCAATCAAAATGATTTCTACAGATCTTTTCAAACATTTTATCTTTATTTTAATTGTCTTATAAAGTAAAAATGAGGTTTACCCAAACATTATATCGCATTGCTTAGTGCATTCTCTATGTATTTATATGATGTGCTAGGGCCATTCTGAATATAAGGCATACCTTGTGTTATCTTTGCAATAGAGAGATGGATGATATTGTATTTTTTAGGATTCCTTTATGTCCAAGCACAAACTTGGGCAAGATGATTGTTTATAATTTAAAACCACTCTCTACAATCAAATACTTGAATAAAGCTGGTCAAGTATTTGAGACAACTAGCCACAGAAGACAAATCACCAGTCTAGGGATCAATAATTCTTCAAGACAGCTACATCTTGAAATGAGCAGATCATTTGTCTTGTCTTTATAAGATTCCTGGCACATAAGTAGGAAGAGAACCTTCTTGTTTTTTTGTCCCCATGTGGCATACAAAGTGGAGATATGAACACTTCAGAATGACCAGCCCTGCACACAACTGAATAGAGTGTGAAGATTTTCACTTTCCTTCCTTTCTCTCAGGTTCTCTATGCTGTTGGGGAGTGAGGGGTTGGGCAAGAATTGTTGAATACATATTAGATGCAAGACCATCCATGCATAATATCCCATATAAGTTTTATGAAAGGACTCATTTCACCCACCAGGGTCACATAGGGGTATGTCAGAGCACCATGTTTGAATACACATCTATTCCAGTTTTGAATCTCTGTCTTTCACCAAGTGCATTGTTTTCTGGGCTATTCAAGGCTTTATTAGTGGAAACAAGCTCAAAGAGGCACCAAAGGAAATGAGTACATGTTTATATGAGTGACGTAGGGTTTCAGTAGCTCTGGCATTTGAACCTGACAGCTGGAGCAAGTCCATTGATGGAAGAAGTCCATGCTTTTACTGGTCTGCACACCAGGCATCATAGAAAACAGACTTAGAACTAGAGTGAACACAGGGTCCCCACATTTGCTCACACCTTGAGGTTCTCATGTCTAACATGCAGGTGTTTACAACATCTTCAAAGAGTGACCACAAGCCTAGTCACAGAGTACGTTGCATATGTTAATTTATTCTAGAAGCTTTATTGGCCCCTTACTCTGTGCAGGTCCAGCGTGAAGGGACTTTAGAATAAAAATATGAATAGAATACATTCTTGTCCTTGGATCTGTTCAATTACTTTTAATGTGAACCACTGTTTATAATCTTACTATATAAATCACCTTTGTTAGCAGGCGCGTTTGTGTGGGAAGCCTTTCACCCACAGCACCAGCAGCGTGTCAGAGATCTGGGCTCTCCCTAGATCCGGAGACTTCTTTGCTTCACACGGACCTTGGAATTCCTTCCACCTAGTATGGAGGTGCCTGGACATGGGGCAGTGTGGCTGTGCACAGAGGAAAAACCTTGGCTCAGTGTCTTTGATATAGTCTCTAGATATAAGAAACAGCCAAAGTGCATGCACAACTGCTGAAAACAGCGGACATCCTTATAAAAACCACAAGCAGGAAGTAAAATGCTGCATCGGTGACTGTTGCTTTGAGGTTTTTTTTTTTTTTTTTGAGTGGACTGAGCTTGGGGCTAGGAGAGTGTAAATCCCCCAAACTGAGGCAAAGGGTGTGGCCAGGGAGCCCTGAGAGCCCTGAGAGCCCTGGTGGAAAGGACTGGGGATAAAAGGTGTTGGCAGTGCGGGGCGGGGGGGCGGTGGGAGAGACCCAGGGAGAAGCGTTCAGGAGCCCGAAGCCATGATGACAAAGACGGTAGGAAGATGAGCGGGAGAAGGTCCCCATGCTGTCAGGACACCCATAGAGGGTGTATGGCGTGGAGGCTCGTGTCAGCTAAAAGGTTTGGAACCAAGCAAACTGCACGTGAGTCAGAGGATGGCATCGGTGAGGGTCAGGGCAGCTGCATCAGCATGAACACAGGTGAATTTCATTTAATCAGAAGAAATATCATGAGAAAATACAAGTTTAAGCCAGACCAACCCCACTAAATGAGAACGTGCCGTGCATGGGAGGCCCTTCACATTGTGCTATGCACGAAGGATACTAGTTATGATGATGCCCACAATTTCCTATGTGCCTGGGCAGTGGGAGAGAGTGGCCGTCCTCACCTACCAATGTGGAGACAGAGCCCAGCACTCGTAAAACCAGTCAGGGAGACATGCCAGCTGGTGTCAGCTCACCCAGTCCACTTCACCCTCCTGAAAACCACTACAGCTTCCATGGCAGAACCAGGGACCCCCTCTTAAGCTCCTAGACACCAGGGAACCTGACCTAGATGAGCCATACTATCTCTCCCTTTATACATTTGAGCGAATACATTGCATTATTATGTCTCCAAATTAAACAGGTTCCAGCATCTCCCAGAGTCATAGCACCAAAAAGCATGATCATATATGTAAAATGTAGAAAAACATGGATCTCACATTTTACATTATGTGGTCACCTTTGAAATTCTCTCGTCCATTGGCTTCTAGGATAAACTGCATTTATTCTGTTCATTTATTTGCTTACTTATTCTGCCAGCATTTATTGGGTGTCTGCTCTTCAAGGTCCTGGAGTTACCACACTGAACAAAATAGAAAGACATGCATGCCCTCAGGTGGCCTGCATTCCACCCCACTGCCCTCTGCCATTCATTTTGCTGTGTCTTCTCTTTTTCTTTAAATATGCTCACTACATGCCTGGACTTGTACCAAATGTGTGATATCTATCGCTCATTTAACCCTCTGAGCGGCCTAGCTCTGTCCTCACATGTCACAGGAAGTGAGCACAGGAGGTTGACACAGCTGCTCTAAAGTGCCTCAGCCAGTAAGTGGACAGTCTTCAGCCTGGGGCAGGGCATGCTTTTCTGTCACAGAGCCCTCTGTGCTTTTCCTTTCTTTTCCAACCTTGTGTTTGCTCATACCTGTCTACATTTGCTCTCAAGAAATCTATCCATTTTCATCATTCACCTAACCTTTAGGCAGAAGGCCTCAAAACCTTTAGACTCTGCCCTCTACCAAAGCTCCAAGCCTGAGACCGTAGAATAGGGACCCAGAAGTCTCACATGGGAGCCTCAAGGACCTGAGTCATCTGATCCTGCCTCACACTGGAACTTTATCTGCAGCCACTCATCCCCATCTGCTGACACCACCCCTCCACCGCAGGCACCCCTCCACCCCGGCTCCTGTGCTCTGTGCCCACTCAATATTCTCCTTGTCAGGCCCCTTACACTTTGGCTTGTGCTCACCTGGCAGAATCAGGTGGCAAGATCAGGCGTTAGTTCCAAGACCCCAGTGCCCAGCTTGCCTCCTGGCTGGTTTAGAGTCTTCCATTATATTCTTGCAGCAGCTGCGAGTCCTTTTCCAAGTTGTTAGTTTGCAATCCTATCAGCTCTGACAGATCCAAGGCTCCTTGAGAACTGGGCCATGTTCCTTACATCTGAGGCCCCAGCTACCAGCACACGTGTGCTGACAGAGCGGACGATATACCTCAAACATGTCTACCATCACTTCAAAGTCAACAAAAGGGAAATTATACATTGCTTGGCTGGCAGAAACTCCCACTCTTGTCTACTTTCCAATGACCTGATGACCTCACCATACTCATTCTGGATGGGGATCCCATCCTCTCAAATATCCCTGCTCCTTCCGTGTCTTTATCAGTGTCCCCATGTCACAGGAACAGCGGCACTGATGGGCTCTGCCTGACTGTTCCTTTTGACAAATGCATTTGCCTGCAGCATTATCACCTCTGAGATAGGCTTTGGAACAATTATAATAATCCTTGAGCAGTCCTTATAGGACCCTTACTGAACGGAGCCAGATGTATATCCAAGTGTTCTGAGTTTTTGCTGAGCTGCAGGCCTGTTATCATCACAGGCAGGTTCCCTTCATCTAATCTACTCATTTCTTTGTCCTGAGCTAATTAACGGGGGTAGAAAAATGGAGAATTAGAAAGGATTTTAAGAAATCTTTATGCATATAAGGATGAGAAGGCCACAGGGCAGCACAGAATGTAGTGGAAGGAGCTCCTCTGCGCCTTTCTTGGCGGTTGAAACAGCAGAGCCTCCTCAAGGAGCAAAGCAACTGGCTCCAGTTAGAAATGTACAGTTACCCAGAGGCCTGGGGTGGAGGTGCGGGGTGGCTAGGGTGCTAATATACCCTGATGGTCAGAGGCCTCTGTGCTGTCACTTCTCCCTGGGAGTGGCTCCTTTGGCATCCTGAACTTGAGCCGGCTGATAAGACCAGCCATGACCTGGGCGTTAGGCAGGGCCCCTTCCGAGGACAGACCAGGACAGAGACAGCACGGCCGGCGGGCATGGCCGCGGGGGCTCCCGGGCAGTGGCTACGAGAGGAGGCGCGGTGCCCTGTGTGCCTTGACTTCCTTCAGGAGCCGGTCAGCGTGGACTGCGGCCACAGCTTCTGCCTGCGCTGCATCTCCGAGTTCTGCGACAAGTCGGACAGCGCGCAAGGCGGCCTGTACGCATGTCCGCAGTGCCGCGGGCCCTTCTCGCGGGAGGGCTTCCGGCCCAACCGGCAGCTGGCCAGCCTAGTGGATGGCGTACGGCAGCTGGGACTGGGCGCGGGGTCGACCAGGGCGCTGTGCGAGCGCCATGGCCAGGAGCTGAGCCGCTTCTGCGAGGAGGATCAGGCGGCGCTGTGCTGGGTATGCGACACCGCACCCGAGCACAGGGGACACTGCACCGCACCGCTGCAGGAGGCTGCCCAGCGCCACCAGGTGAGCCGCGCTCTGTAGGCGGGCGGCGCTGAAGTATCCTCTGACGCGAGCGCGCCGAGCGCAGGTGTTCGATGAGCTGCCTACCTACAAGGCCACAAGCCAGCACCTGGTCTGGATGTTTCCCTCACCTGCTCTCCCCGCCCCTCGCCCTCCCGCGCACAGCGCGCACTCAGGTCCGGGCTCCTTGCATTTGCTCCTGGCAGTCCCCGCTCTGGATAGTGTTTCCCTCCCAGGTAGCCTTCACTGGCCCTGTGCTTTCTGGCTGGTCTCGTTTTCCCGATGCCGATGCTCTGGGTCCCACAGCTAGAGTATCGTATGAAGGGCTGTGTCCTCCATTTGGTTCTTCGTTACAGGTGTGCATCTTTATGGTAAATGCTCCTAACAACGACTACTGACATAATGCCTTGCTTTTGCGTAGTGTTTACGTTAATCCATCCTGTTACCAGAACGACCCTCAGGTTTAAGCATTATTTAGAAATAGCACCTCAGTGGTCACAAGGCTCTGAAGTAGGAATCCAGGTGCTAAGTGCACAGGTCAGGTCTTTATTCGACTCATATTTGGGGACTTAGGATATGAGCATCTTCGGTGACGAGGTGTCTCATATGAGTATTTGCTCCAGAAGGCACATCTGTGAGTATGCTAATGCTCTCAGATGTTTTTGGAGGTATTCTATACATTTAAATTTACAGGTCTGGAACAGCCATCAGCACAACGAAAGTCCAGGTCTTATTTACTGACATGTTTATCTGAAGTACTATCTCAATGAAATAAATTGCAAATATTAACTTTCTTAAATTTTTCATTATTTTAAAACTTTGTTTTATTATTTTAAATCAGAGTTTGGGACATTTATCCCCTCAACTTCCCTCTGGATCTATATGTCTGGAAATATATGTCTTAGTTTTTCTTTTTGATTTCTGTTGTCATCTATAAAACTCAGATGCTAGCTATTTTCTATCTAGATTATTGCAAAATGTTTCTGCCGCCTTTTTATCCTGAAAGTACCATACAGAGTATGGCTAATATAATATTTCTAGAGAAGTTCTCTGTATTTTAGTAGTCTTTCAATTAAAACCAAATAGGTATCTACTGAGCTTCTCAGCCTGTCAGTCTAGACTTGTGAGGGCCCTATGTTCTGTTGCTACAGCTGCTGTCTTAACCAGCCATAAGATCCAGCAAAATTAGCCTAATCACTTGTCCCCAAGCACACCATACCTTAGTCACCTCGTTGCTTTTGTTCACAATTTCTATCTGAGGGAGTGTTTTTTTTCCATCTACAAGTGTCAACTTGTTCTGTTCTTTGCGAACTCTAAAACAAATGCCACTTCCGTCATCATGTTAAATCCTCATGAATCCTACTGCTGTTTTGCGAGCATTATATTATAATATTCTCTTTTTAAAAGAATTGGTATGTAGGACTTGGGAATGACTTCAGATGGGGTTTAAAATGTGTGTGTATGTGTATCTTTGTGTGTGCTCTCTGTAAATAAAGTATGTTTTTGCCTCTAGCAAAGGGCCTAGGGTTGAAAGGAGATTTGATTTCCATTATATTTTTGCTCCTTGTAAAATTTACAACCTGAATTTCTTTTCCATTGAGTAAATGCTAATTCACATAGTTTCTTCTGGCCTAATAATAATAAACACTTTTCTGATTATAAAATAATAAGTAATTTTAAGAAATTGAAATATATAGATGTAAAGAATAGCACTGCTTTTCAACCAAGCACTAGTAGATGAGATTTTATCTATTGAACATTTTCACTGACCTCTGCCTAGTTTTTATATATTCATCACAACCACATTTTTTTAAAAATTGGTGTCACAGAACATAAAATATACTTATTTTAACAGACTTTATAATTGTGAGAATTTCTTATTAAATATTCTGCAGCACCTTATTTTAATTTTATCCTTTAATATAAAATAAAATCATCGCCTAGTTTTAACATGTTGGTTAGTGACAGTTTTACCATTTTAAATGATGCCACGATGAATGTATGTTTAGATAAATCTTTGATTATGTCTAGTATTAACATGTAAAAGTATATTTATGTTTAACTTAGTTATTAGTGAGGTTGGACATATTTGTATGTCCAGGGCCTGTTTTAGGTGATTGTCACAGCTCCTGACACACCTTGTCAGCGTTAGGTGCTGAAGGAGAGCACCTGGCATGGTCTCTGTGTATCTTCCCAAACAGGCAAAGCTCCGGATGGCCCTGGAGCTGGTGAGAAAAGAAATGGAGGAGACTCTGACACAGGAGGCCAATGTGGGGAAGAAAACTGTCATTTGGAAGGTATGGGAATATTGGGGCTTCAAGAGGCATGTCTGCCTAAAGGTTCCAAATTTGGGTTATCCAGCCATCTCTCTGTGCCAACACACTTGTTCCATCTACACATGTGCCCAAGAAAAACACCCCTGTGTCATCCTGGATAATCTCACCCCCTCAGGTTGTTAGACATCCGTGTTATTATCCCTGACAGTACCATAAGCTGAGTCACAAAAACAGCTTTGCCCGTCTTGATCTCTCCATAACTCACTGCTGCATTCCTGATATCTAGGGCAGAGTCTCAGACTGCCACTGTGATCTTACAAATGTATTTGTCGGATGAACGAAAAATAAACATTTAATAGCATTGATGTAGATGTCATTCAGCTAGAAGGGATCCATTTTACACTGAGGAGGGTGACTGAACTTTTAGCCTCCTTCCAGCTGTACATATATGTGTTCTCTCTTCTATGCATCCTTGGCTCATTGCTTCCTTACCCATTCACACACACACACACACACACACACACAATGATGCCCAGCACAGTGCTTGCCACAAGGACACTAATAATGGTTTTGAACTGAACTAAAGTTTTAAAATTCCATGGTCTCCACACACACACACACACAGAATGATTCTGTCTAGGGCAGTTTTGCCATTCAATGGACATTTTGCCGTATCTAGATATTTCTTCTTATCACAACCAGGGATGAGTGGGTATGCTACTGGCATATAATGAGTTGAAGCCAGGAATGATAAACACCTTACAATGCATAGGACAGCCCTCTCACTCCCAATTTTCACAACAAAGAATAATCTGGTCAAACAGTGTCTATGTAGATTGAGAAACTATATATAGAAACTATACGTGAAATGTTAATTTAAAAATTATATACCATATAGAGGACTTATTTTATTCTTTGTCCTCCAAATACCCCATCTTCTACATTATTTTCTATGTTTTTCTAATTCTTTCCTTCTTCTTTTCTTGAAAAAGTGGTCTTATCCTGTATCCTCAGACAGATATTTCCATAAGGACCACTTTTGCTATGTTTTTCTTCTGTGATGTCTTATGTTTTCCATAGTTATGTATTTATATGCAATGCTAAACATTTATTGATAAGTTTTCTTCTTTTTAGGCTAATAACCCAAGTCAATTATTTTCAGTCCTGACCTGACCACAGACATACAAAACCAGAAACTCCACATCGAGACCTCAGTCCTATGTTTTTTAAAACCTCTACTGGTTATTCTAAAGTGGAAATGATGCTAGAATTACTGTTCTAAGCCAAGTAAAGCTCATAATCTTTACCAGTGAGAACGTGGCCATGTGAGCCAAATACAACAGGCTCAGGTTTGATAAAATAACCTGTAAATTCTACAAAAACCTTCCTCCTTCCTGTATCTGTAGACATAATTGTAGTAGTGAAAAGGATGATGTGAGGGAAAGATGAGTTGCCCCCAACCCCACTTTCACACCCTGCATATGACCATACATCTTTTCAGTGACAGAGTTGTCAGACCCACCCCTCAGCAACCTCCTACATGGGAGAGAATTACATGAGTTGTATTCTCAGATCACATTATGAAATTCAGAGCTGGTTCATTTTAAAGCGATGAGGATTATTAGAATTTAGTGGCTTAGAAAGTGGTAGGACAAAGAGGAGATTGGAAATTGTGTCACTAGAATGAACACTTGTGGAAACAACTGAATTATGAAGAGAGATTAGAGAGGCCTGGGTTTGTAAACATGAATAAGAAAAAGCTTGGAGACAGAGAATGTGCACATGAGTCCTATGAGGTTTGAGGAGAACTACTGTTGATTTTTTAAAGGTGACAGCTTATGCTCTTTAATCAAACCATGATGCTATATGTTTAAACATGGGCTATGGAATCCAAATGCCAAGAGACTGTAGGAGAACAATTTAGGACTCAGTTTAGAGATATTTTTTCACATACCAGTCTCTATAATGTCATATTTTAGATAGAATAATGCTATGTCAGAGTATGCTCCTTCAGTCTATTCAAAAGATGTAGCTGTGAGATTTGAGTGGAAATCAGAGTAATTCCATGGAGCTCACCCTGATATTGGTTCTGGTTCCGAGGACAGCTTAGCCCTTTCCTGGCTGTACAGAGGGCACTCGCCTTAGGGCTCCACGGTCACCTGCTGGAAGGAATGTGCACATTCTCTCATCTCTAAGCCTTTTCTTATTCACCTTTACAAACCCAGGCCTCTCTAATTGCTCTTCATAATTCAGTTGTTTCTACAAGGGCGATTCCTCTAAGAGTAAATTTTAACTTCTGTTGTGAGACTGTTCTATGTTGGTGGCTCCGCTCAAGGACTTAGTAGCTTTTAATTCTAAGGCCCACACTGCTCTGTTCCCACATTCTGTATATGGTGCTGAAACTTGAATGTAAAAGTACATCATTACCTAGTTCGAATCCAACAGTCTTTCTTAAACTCTCAGTTTGATAGCTCTGCCAGGCCACCACTCATGTAAGTGGCCTCCGGTTTCTGGGTGCATTTTTCAAATGCAGCTGGTCAGTTCACAGGGTGCAGGAGCTGAACTCATGCAGACCTGGCCTGTCCAGTCTCCTCTCAGTCCATGATGGTGGCAGCCAGGCACTGCGTTCCATTCTGGCGTTCTCGATGTCACTCCAGGAGAAGGTGGAAATGCAGAGGCAGCGCTTCAGGCTGGAGTTTGAGAAGTACCGTGGCTTCCTGGCCCAGGAGGAGCAGCTGCAGCTACGGAGGCTGGAGCAGGAGGAGAGGGCCACCCTTCAGAGGCTGCGGGACAGCAAGAGCCAGTTGGGCCAGCAGAGCCGGGCCCTGAAGGAGCTGGCTGAGGAGCTGGAGGACAGATGCCAGCGCCCGGCCCTGGGGCTGCTGGAGGTGAGGCCAAGGGGACAAGCAGCTGCCTGCCGACTGCTCTTGAGGGATAGGACATCCAGAACTTACTAGGACAGTGTCTTCATCAGAGGGACTCTACAGAAACATCTAAAAGGGTGCCCAGTAAAGAGAAAAACTTAAATGTTTTTAAACATTAAAATTAATTGGATGATTTATATAAAATTAAACAGGAAAAGGACAACCTACATTATGTTGGCTGAAAAACACTTCATAAAACTTCACAGTCAACCTGTCAATGACTACATTGCTGTATTTAGTAATGGCCAATCCAAAAAGTCTTTGGTAACCTGTCTCAAGAAACAGCCAAACAAATAAATAAATTTTAAATTGTCCAGCTAAGAATTTTCATGTTAAAATTTAAGGCAAATGCTAATTCCTTACCCATCTCACATGCCTATTCCAGGCACAGCAAGAAGGAAGCACATAGGCTCTATGCAGCTTGCTCACAACCTACGTGGGTTATTGAATAGACAAACAGCAGGGAGAAGGAGATACTTGTTTTTATTCCTAGTGAATCAGAAATGTCCCTAGTGGATGCATATCATGGTGACAGAAAGTCTTTGAGCACACTTTATTTTAGCTCATTCCCAGGACTCATTCATGATTTCTAAACTACTTGGCATCCTCAGACAAGTACAGTGACTCAAGGGCACTGGTCGCACAGTGGTCATTAAATGAAGGGATTTACAAAGCATTTTATTTAATTTGTCCCATTTTGTTTTCAAGATGTCTATAAGTAAAAATAAAAATTGTTGTTGCTGTTGCTATACATTTTTTCTTGTGAGCAAACTAAGGGTCAGAAGGGGATTATTTTAAAAAAATTTCAGACAGTAAATAAACACAAGAACTTCAGTATTCTTCAGCATTTTCAATAACAATCATTATTTATCATATCTCAAAACACAACTTATTTTAAATGAGCATTCATTAGTGCCAAATAAATATTTAAAAGATTTATTTTTTAACAACTCTTAGGGAGAATATACTCAAATAATTTATTTTTATTTTTATCCTCACCTTTCTTCCCCAGTACCAATAAGCTACATTTTACACCCCGTGGTTAAGACCAAGGCCTGCCAGTCCCATGAAAAGTAAAATTAATCATTTATCTGCTTTATAAAAATTAATCTGATAGGTGATTATCTTTAGAGGGAGAGGAGAAATGTAATGCAGTTGATTTATTTAATAATCTGCCTTGAGATAAAATGTTGCTAGATATGGATGACTCCCATTTTTATCCACTTATGTAACCTACTTGCATATGAGTCCATAGATATGGTGCGATGGTTCAAAGAATGAGGAATTTGGGGTTTTCTTATAGAGATATTGAGAATAACGTTTTATGTCTATATCTTTCACTATTTCTCATATAAATTCTGCAGATATTCAAGATCTGTTTTTACCCTAACCCTACTTACATTTGTTGCAAAATGTAACTCTTAAAACATCCAAATGCCGATTATAAGTTTGGAAAATAGTTAAACTAGTAGATATCATGGGTATAAACCAAAATTTCATGCAGTCTAATTCTATTCTAATAGAGACAAACTGATTCTATTATTTTAAATTTATGAGAAAATTCAACAACAGCCTATTTTTGGCTTTTATTAAGAGAGATTCATGTCTCCTTAATCGTTTTTTACCTTAATCGTTCTTTACCTTAATCGTTTATGATTTCCAATAATTCCTAAAGAGATGTTCATGGTTTGTCCCGTGTCTGTCAAAAGCAACTTGGAGGTCTTACACCTGCTTCCATTTTTCTTTCACTTTCAGGGTGTACAGGGTGCTCTGAGCCGGTATGTTTGCCTTCCGAAGCAGAGGATGGGTTGGGAGAGGCCTAGGAGGTTGGCGGGGGCCTGAAAGCTCTGGGTTCTGTGCTCTTCTCAGAAGTAAGAGTGTCCCACGGCTGGAACCGGAGACCATCCCTATGGAACTGAAGACACGGTGCTGCATCCCTGGGATGAGAGAGATGCTGAAGAAGTTCCAAGGTAGGCTGCATCTTAGCATGGGGACTGTGGTGCCTGGGACCTGGCTGTCCCTGCACCAGTCAGTGCAGTATTAAGCAGAACCCAAAATTTGATGAGTAGAATCACCAAAGTTTTATTTTGAGATCATGTTTTTAGTTTATTACTGGATCGCAGAGACTTCTGTTTCACATCATCTCATTCTTGGACGTGCAGATAGAGTGCAGCTCCTTCCCTTGGCTAGTAGCCTTTGGTGGAAGAAGGTCACCATGAGCCACACACAGCTGCTGAGGCCGTGCTGAAGTGATGCACAGGCTTCCAGCAGAAGTTACAGGTGCGGGGGCGGGGGGCGAGTCTCATGGCAAAGGTAAACGATAGGGGAATGGGAGAGAGCACCATGCCCAGAAGAAAGGGGGCTGGAGAACCTCAGAGTCCCGGACACCCATATAAACTGCATTTGATTAGAACAGTGGGCTTATCAGCTGTCACATGAGTAACATTAGTTCCAAAAAATGTTTCCTTATTTATAAAATGCTAAAAATAGTAATGTTTGAAAGACTAAGTGAAATGCATTTGAAAACAAAACAAAAACAATAATATGAAAGCATTACAGAGTATTAAATAATAAGTTTGGTTTATTTTATTATGTCAACTTGGTGAGTTGCTTAAATTAGAGAGTTTAAAAAGCCACATAAAAATAACTGACTGAATGTTTCTGGCTTTTAACATTTCTTTTTTTTTTAAATCCAACTTATCCCAAGCAATGAAAATACACTGTTACTTACATTATACAACATAGTGGTTTCAGTACTTAATGGGAAACAACTTTGTCCCATAATGAGAAAACCTGTCTTTACCAGTCTTGTTCAATGATTTAATCTATATTCTGATAGACAACAATAGGAAAGTAATACTGCATAAACCGTTGCAAGTTATTACACTTTCAGAATCTGTGTTCTCATATTTCCAATTACATTTACTGCATCAAATAATCAATCATTTCAATAAATAGTACTATATTTTTATGCTACTTTTCTAAACATTGGAATATAGCACTGAACAATAAAATCCTACAGATTCATAGCTTCATGTTGAAAATATTTACTTACATTATGCAATATACAGAAAATGTTAGAAGATGACACAGGATATTGAAAAAAGGCATAAAGTGAGGATGACCAGAAGTTATGGGGACAGGGCATCCACTTTTGAATTTTGTGATAGGGAAGACCTCATCTGATAGAGGGTAGACAGCAGATATCAGATCTGGAGGAGAGTGTTCCAGAGAAGGATGGTGGGAGGTGTTCAGGAGCCCTGAGGAGGCCCAGGCTGCAGTGGTCAAGCCTGCAGTGCAGGACCCTATGGGCAGGCCACTGAACAGAACGCTTTACCTCTGAGTGAAATAGGAGGTCAATAAACAGTTGTATGTGAAGAAATAGCACACTAGGGTTAATATTTTGTGGGATTGATTGAGAATCAATTACAGAGGGGCAAGGCTTGAAGTGGAAAAAGCAGTTAGGATCTTAGCAATAATTCAATCAGAGATGATTATGAATTGAAACATAGTGCTGGTAGTGGAGGTGCTGAGAATGGAGAGAATTTGCATATATTTTGAAGATAGAGCTGGGAAGACTTGCTGCTCAGGTAGACCTGAGGTGTCAGAGAAAGGAAGTGGTTTCCAGGTTTAAATCTCCAAAATTGATATAATAAGGTTGCCATTTACATTGATGGGTGCGGCTGCGGATAGGACAGAGGAAGGAAGCTGGAGTTTTGGACAGTGTTGTGAAGAATGTTCACTATCCAAATGTTGATATCAGGTCATTTGAGGAATTCACAAATATGGACTTTGAGGAGAAAGGTCTAGGCTGGAGATATGCATTTAGAATCAGTAAGCATATGATTGAAATATCACTAAAGCACTGAGCCATCCAGCCCAAGAACTCACTGAGCTGAGAAAAAAGAAGAGAGATCCCAGCTCTGAGGCCATTGCCGGGATGGAGAAGAAGAGAAAGCAGGCAAGGAGACCAGGGAGGGGTGGCGGGCCAGTAAGAGAGCAGGGAGGGAGGAAGCACGCTGACTGGTGTCAGGAAAGGAGAAGGGAGGTGTCCCAGGACAGAAGGATCCTCAGCGGAGAAGCCATTTAAGATGCCCACCCGCTGGTCACTGTGGAGGTCTCTGAGAAGATGGGCAGGAGCAGATTGTTAGGGTGTTGTTTGGCTATGGTGATTAAGTTTAAAAGAGAAGGGGTAAAGAGAGGAACTGGAGATGGACTTTATTAAAAACCACTTCACAGATTTATTTTCTTGTAAATGGAGTACAGAAGTGCCCAGAAGCAAGAATGATGTAGGAAGACCTATCATATTAATAGGCTGACACAATCCTACAGAGACCCACATTTCCATCCCTATTATTTGCAATTTCTAGAGTTTAGGGAAATTACATAAACTCTTTGACTTTGAATGTCCTCATCTATAATGTGGGGGTGATACTGGCCACCTAGAGGGTGGTTACATGGGTCAGCATAGATGATGTGCTACATGAGTGATCCACTCAGGTGTGGGTATCAATAAAACATTACTAGAAGTGACTCAGAGACAAATAAAAACAGCAGTTGTAGTAGTGGTATTTGATATTACGATATTAACAATTTGACTATATTAATGAAATTTACTTTTTTTGATTGTTTATAAAGAGAAGACATCAAATATTTTATATCTTTCCTTTGCATTTAGATTTCACATGTAGATGTTCTTGTTAATTATGTGTATAAGTAAAATTTCAGGTCAATTGCCCTGGGATTTCACAGTATCAGTATTACTTTCCTATTGCTGTGTAATGAATTGCCACAGACTTACCTGCTTAAAATCACAGCTATTCATTAGCTCAAAGTTCTGTAGATCAGACCCCCAGGTAGGATCGGCTGGCTTCTCTGCTTAGGGTTTCACAAGATCACTTAGCCTGTTGGCCAGGCTAAGCTTCTATGAATGGCTTGGGGAAACATCACTTCCAAGCTTATTCAGGTTGTTAGCATCACACATTGCCATGAGGCTGTGGGACTGAGCTTCCCATTTTCTTACTGACTATCAGCTGAAGGTCTCTTGCCTTTCTCTTCATGGGGCAACACCTGCATCTTTAAAGTCAGGGTGAAAAATCAAATATAGATCTCCTTGACTTTCTCTTCTGCCACCAGCCCAATAACTAGAGAAACCTTTCTGATTTTAAAAAGGTTGATGTGATTATATTTGACCCACCCAGGTAGACTCCCCTCTTGTCATGAGGCATAATAGCATTATGAGAGTGCCACCAGGGTCTGAGGGGCACGGGGGCTGTCTCTGAATTCTGCCTACCACAGAAACATGGCCTTGAACGTGATGGATTTACTATTAACTAAATTATCCTATAGTTTTTGAGACAAAAAATACATCTCAAGGGGTATTTAATTTTTATTTTAAATGTGAATGATACTCCTAATAGCACCCAAGTGCTTTGGGTGTAGGTTGGAGGATGCTGACCAGTCATGCACTCACTGTCTCATGGCGTTGGTGCTCGTGTTTTCAGTGGGTGCTAGTGAGCCCTGGATCATGTAGAGGTGGCAGTGGGATACACCCAAAAGGGATGAGGAAGATTCCCAGTGACCCACAAGGTAAAATACTTATTTTGTTTTCTCTAGGAGTGGTTAGAATGAAGAATGGTATGTCTGCTCAGTATCAAGCTTTTACCAGCCTTTTTCATGCTTTTACATGTCCCCCGAATTATTTCCCCAGTTGATGTAAAGCTGGACCCTGCAACAGCACATCCAAGCCTCCTCTTGACTGCTGACCTGCGCAGTGTGCAGGACGGAGAACTGTGGCGGGATGTCCCCAACAACTCGGAGCGATTTGACACGTGGCCCTGTATCCTGGGTTTGCAGAACTTCTCATCAGGGAGGCATTACTGGGAGGTCATGGTTGAGGAAAGAGCAGAGTGGGGTTTAGGAGTCTGTCAAGATGCAATGCCAAGGAAGGGGGAAACCACGCCATCTCCTGAGAACGGAGTCTGGGCCATGTGGCTGCTGAAAGGGAATGAGTACATGGTCCTCGCCTCCCCATCTGTGCCCCTCCTGCACCTGGAACGACCTCGTTGCGTTGGTATTTTCTTGGACTATGAAGCTGGTGAAATCTCCTTTTACAACCTCACCAGCGGGTGTTACATCTACACATTTAGCCAGCTGTTTACTGGTCTTCTCCGACCTTACTTCTTCATCTGTGACACGGCTCCTCTTGTCCTGCCACCTATGACAGAAGCAAAATCAGGAAACTGGGCATCTGGGGGTCATCCTGACCCCTCTTCTACCATTAGAGATGACCATTCCTAAAATTTTGTTCCCCAGAAGCACTCCAAGCGCAGCGATGCTTCCTGGAGTAGAGTGGAAGATATGCAAGTGTGAAAGAAGTCTCAACAGATGTCCCCATTTAAGCCAGCACTTAGTTACCGTTGCTAAGGACATTTTTCCATGGGGACAAAAGACAATGCATGAAATATTTATTCTTGGAGGAGAGTTGTGGAGCATAATAATATTAGAAATAGAACAATCTCATTTCTCCTTGTCTAGCTGGCTCCACACACTTCCTGGTGAATGTCTCCAAATGGACGAATCTTGCATTAGACAAAGATATCTACACATTCATTATCATTTCTCATTCCTTTTGTATCCTTTTATTCCAAGTTGCCCGCATCTTATCCATTAGGAATGGTAGTTCTTAAACTGAGAACTGTCTGGTTTCATTCCTACATCAGAACTGCAGTTGTGTTTCTCCTTCTCTTCTCTCTTCTCTCATTCTCTCCCTTCTCTCTTGTCTCTTTGCCTCTGTGTCTGTTTCCCTCTCTCCCTCTTTCTTGTTCTTTACTTTTGTAGCTAATAAATAATTGCTAACCAAGTGCCAAAATGCTCGATGCTAAATGTTTAAATGATAAACAATTATTATTAATGGTAGATTTAGTAAACTTTAATAATAATCTGCCAAAACTTTAACTCTCCTCTTTAACTGCAGCAAGAATTTTATGGTGTTTCTCTCTTCTTGGAATATTTTTTTTTACTAAATCTTTTGCTTATTTTTCAATAACATACTTTCCAGTAACATACTTTTCTTTCTAAGTTTTTAAACATTATTTTCTAGATGTTTTGCATTTGAAGGTGCATATAGAATATAATAACTTTAGAAATGGAACGATCTCATCAAACTCTATTTCCAGATCTACATACTTTATTGATGAATCCTATATTAAGCTAAGATTTCTGCATTCATGTTTGATACACTTATGTGTAATCCTCAGCAAATGTTCTCCCCCTTGATCTCTCATTTGGGAACAGTGGCAATAATAACATCTCTCTCAATACTCTCAGACCAGGCATGTCCTTGGGCTTCCTTCATGTGTGATCTGGGGGAAAGAAGCACATGCTTGGGTGTTAACCACTCCATCACCAGGGTTAACACCTGAGTGCTTGAGTCACGGCAGTGCCAGTGCTTGGTGACAGGAGTCGTACTGAGAACATATACTCAGAGCAGTAGGACCTGTTCCCCACAGGAACCAGGTGACACAAAACCACTGGTCTGAGATCCACTTTCCAGGGACTCCACCCATTCGTCAGGACAAGGAAGCCTAATGGGCGAGAAGAAGGCCCACAGATAGGCAGGGGATGAACCAGGGGATGAACCAGGAGTCCCAGCAATGCCACCTTAGCCTCTGAAACCAGCGTCTTGGTCTCCACTATTTCTCTCGAATCCTGCCATCTCACTGTGTGTCTTATCATAATTTATCTTAGTCATTAAACCAACATAAGTCTTTCTCCATCCCTTGCATTCTGAGATTCATAGAGCTTTGTGCCTCTTCTGCTGTGACCTTTATCCTTCCCTTCCCAGTTCCTGAAACATCTCTGCTGTTTTCTCTGGAATTCGGGTTCCTTACCAGTAAAGTCCTCTAAATCCATATTGATTCCCTCACCTTCTTTTTACTTTCTTCTCCATCTTTTTCCTGAATGCCAGACTTCTATATTCTATTGTCTACTTGCCATCAAAATACACATTTTAAAGTCAACATACCTAAAACTTTAGCCTAAACTCTCCCCACAAGTCTTCCCCTAAAGAAAACACAGACACAGACACACACACACACACACACACACACACACGGCTTCTTCATCTCTGTGGATTGCACTCTATTCTTCCAGTTACTCGGGCCAGACTCTGGCCGACCCTTCCTTGACCTCACCAGCCCCACTCCATTCATTGGCCCCAACCACGCGGCTGCTGTACCTTGGTCTGGACTCCTCTCCTCTCCCTCGGGGCTCCTGCATTAGTTTCCCAACAGTAAGCGGGGCTGGGCTCCAGCCCTCCATGTCCATCCTCAGTGCAGCAGCGAGACTAAGCCTTTTAGTGCCCAAAATAGTAGTGCCATTGCAATAAATGATTGTCTTGCTGGAAGTGCACAATTAAATGATGGCACTGAATGTGTTTTGTGAAATGTGATATGCTACACTGGTATCATTATTATTATTTATAACTAGATAATCACTGACCAATAAAGTCATTTCAAGTGCTAAATAAGTAAAATCAATTTTTAGGTATAGAGAAAATTCTAATAGAAGGCTGAGTTTGCAGAGGTGACGGATTCTAGTGACACAATGACTTGCCATGTCCAGGTATAGTCCCACTGACCCTCCTGGAGCTTTGATTCCTTGTAACAACACAGTGATGTCTTGAATCGTGCATTGTCTCATACATACAACATACGCCACCTCTCTTATACTCACTAGAAACATGGGAAATGTTCTATAAAATTATATGGACTAAAACCTTTTTTTAAAAAAACATTAGACTCATGCTTTATGTGTTCTTCTTCATCCAAACTGCAGGGCAGGGCCACCTTCTCCCCCTATAGGGTGTCTTGGGGCTACTCTCCTTTCTATCACTTCCCTCTGTTGTTATGCACTGGACTTTTTTTTTTTCCTAGCACACATCATTATAAAGAATGGCTAAATTCATGAATAATGATTAAAAGTCAACCCTTAACATTAGATTCTAGTTTCTATGTTTAGCAGAAGACTGGATAACTTGTTTAAATAACTAATTTGATCATTTCACCCTGAAATCAGGTGACTGATTTGTCAAGTGAATTAACTAAAAGCTAATTATTCTAGCATGTTGGGAGGGACCTGAAGGAAGGGAATGGGAGGAGGGTAACATGTGGAGCTGATAGGAAGTAAAATAGCTTTATTAGACTAGGGCAGAAGGAAGTAAACAAATTTAGAGTGGTTATTTCAACTCTTAGTATCCCAAAGGGCAGAGAAATTGGGAACAGTGGGATTTATTAAACCCACTGCTCTCCAAGCATGGACCCTCCACACATGTTTCTGGGGAGCTGCTCTTCCATTCTTCAAGGAAGAGGGAAGGCTGCAGGTGGCCTGCATATGAACGGAATACACATTCTACAAGTCTCCACATTCAATGCACTCACCTACATGGAATATTCTGTTTACTCTCTGATTCTGTGACAAAATCTACCCAAAAGTACCCAAATAATTATTTCAACATATTCCTTAGTCAATTGACTCAAACAAATCTGATTATTCTCTGATATTGCCTGGCTGAGTGCAAGGACTCAATTTGTATTCATTTATACTTTATTATTATTTAAAATTTTAGCCCTGTGACATTATAGTTGCCTCTTAAAACACAGTCATATATACACAATCTACTATATCAGGGGTTCACACTTGTTCAGTTTCCCTAGTTAGTTTTTGAAACTAAAGTAGAAATTGACATATGCTGAATCTACCTTTCAATCCCAAAATAAAACTACATAAGTATATGAAACAAAATAGTTCACCCTGTTAACTCCTTAAATTAATAATAAACTTTCTGTTAATCAATGCACCCATAGCATTTTTCCACTACTAGGACAATGGGTTCTTTCTTTTTCATACATAAAATTCTTAGTAAAAAAAATGTCGAAACACTCTTCCTCTATTTTCAGTAGATCTAAGAAGGAAACAAAGGAGGTAGGATGGAACTGATTATGCCTCAGTTATATTTTAGACACATAATTCTTGAGAACAGGGGAAGGGAGCAAATAGCCCAGGAGTGTTTATGTTCATAGAACAACAATGAAGTAAGTCCCCAATTTGGTTTACATGAAGTAATAAATCCTTTTTAGATCAAGGGACAAATTCTCATGGCCCTCATTTTATGCCTGGACCCTGTGGGAACTGGAGAGCTTGATGTGACACGTGCCCAAAGCACACCTCAGAATCTCTACTAATGACCCCTGTGGTTTCATAAGCTTCCCAAGAGCACCATCAGGGTCCTTCTCTGGCCTTTCCTTGGGAGAGCAGCATCACTGGGGAAAAGTGCCACAAAACTCTCAGGACAAATACCACAGTCCACTCATTTGTAGAGGGCTGGGCCAGGGACAAGAGAGCATCTTCATTTTCTCTGCGTGTGCAGTCGCACCTAGGTGCAACACCCGTGTGAATCCAGGAGGGAGAAGACGGTGCCTGGAGGTCCTCCAGCTAGATCTGTGCCTCTGGATGTGTTACTTTTAATGGTACCTGGTAGCACACATGAAAGTGGTGAGTAGATTTCTGGATTCAACAGTTCAATTCTTAAGTTTGTAGTTCTTTATTGATTTGTTAATGAAAAAGCCATATAGAATGCCTCAAAGGAATAGAAAAATAGAAAATGAGGAACGTTTGGAAAGATTAAGTATTATGACAGATACAATGAGGTGCAAATCTATAGGCAAACATACATTACAACTCATGTTATTTAATTATAACATAACAATAAGTTACCAGTGCAAAATGATTTTTAAAGGATTAGATATAGTAGTGCTGAAGAGACAAAGTATAAAGAAGCCCAAAATAAAAGTTTTTTTTTTTTTTTTTTTTATGTTGGTACTGGAGTTTGTTAAGAAAAGACAGATTTGTCAGGAGGACTGGGAAATGAGATCTGAGATGTGAGTTTCATTAAAAAAAAAAGCATCAAAAAGGGGATTATCAGCCTCCTAGGGGAGGATGGGGAAGTGTCACTCTTGGCTGGGAAGACATAGTCCTTTCTGCACTCTGGAAACAAGTGTCTCAGCTTCTGCCATCTCTCATTGTAGCCACAGTTTGGGTGAGTTTAAAACCTCTTTAATTCAATATTAAAAATGCTTTGGAAATGAACTAAAATCTTTAATCATGTGACCACCTGCCCTCCAGGAACTGAAAAACACATTTCTTTGACCTGTGGTTCCAATGCGGGTGTTCCTGAGTCAGACCGGTGCCTGAGGGAGGGGATGTTGACACTGTGTGACCAGCATCCACAGGGGGGACACCTCCCCCTCTGGTGCACTGTCAGCCCTCACACTCCCAGGTACACAGATGAGACAAAAGCTGTACAAAAGCGATCGTCCACTTCCTGCAGGTGCCCCGCTCTGCTACCTGCAAACGCACTCAAAGTCAAGAAAATTCGTGCGTTCTCAGTCACTAGACCAGGTCCCTTGCCTCTCCCTGAGCCAGCCCAGGGCTGTCAAGCTTAGCGCAGGACGCTGCCTGCCGGTCCCTTAGCTTTGCTGCCCATGCAAAGGGGACTTGGACGCCACAATGAGCAAGTTAACTGTCCATTTCTTCAGCCTCTCCATTGTGCTAAGTATAAAAGATGGACGTTGCCCCACTGCTCCTCTTACCGGTGGAATGGTGACAAGCCCCGTGGCGTACAGTAAAATCCGCCACGTGAGAGCACAGGCGCGCAACCGGGTTGACGCGAAGATGCTCCTGGCGGTTGTGGAAGGGTCTGTGAGGACGCTGGGCGCAACAGGGTAGCCCACAAGACTGACCCCAGAGCGCTGCGGCGCGGGCGAGAAAACTGTCGCCCGCCTCCCAAAGTAGGAACGTGCGGGGACGAAGTGCCGCCCTTCCCAGAACGCTCGGAGCCAAAGTCCGCTGTCCTCCCGGGAGGCCGCGTACGCCCGACGGATGTGTGCGGTAGGCAGGACCCGGCGACACCGTCCTGTCTGCTTTCCAGACGCCGGTGTCAGCATGACTTTCTCTCTCAAAGGCCTCAAACCAGCCCTGAAGTGTCACTGCGACCTCACTCCGTCCACGGGAGCTGCGCCCTGTCACTGCATTCCACTTCCTTCTTGCTCCTCGGTCTACTTTTCTCTTATTTCGCAGAATTCACATTTTTTGGATCAGGAAATTGTGCAGCATACATATAACATTATTCTCTCTCTCCTAATTGCATCTGGTTTTTAAGAACTAGAGTACTTTTTCCTTCCTAACTTCTTTCCTTTCTTCCTGCTTATTTTCCTTGTTCAGCTTATATAACTTTAATGCAGTAATTTTCACATAAGTGTAGAATGCCTGGCTTGTGTAAGTGCTACCGTATGTCAGCTGTTACTGTTATTAGTGTCAGTCTTCCTCTTCAGGTACAGTAGAGATGGACGGAGCCAATGAGAGCACCCAGGGAAATTTCATCCTTTTGGGGTTCTCTGACAACCCCCACCTGGAGGGTATCCTCTTTGTGGTCATCCTGACTGCATATCTCCTGACCCTTGTGGGCAACACCACCATCATCCTGCTGTCCCGGCTGGACCCCCACCTACACACACCTATGTACTTCTTCCTCACCCACCTCTCCTTCCTGGACCTGAGCTTCACCACCAGCTCTATTCCCCAGCTGCTCTACAACCTGAGTGGACGTGACAAGACCATCAGCTACACAGGCTGTGCCATTCAGCTGTTCCTGTTTCTGGCTCTGGGTGGTGTGGAGTGCCTGCTCCTGGCTGTCATGGCCTACGACCGGTTCGTTGCCATCTGCAAGCCCCTGCACTACATGGCGATCATGAGTCCCTGCCTCTGCCTGGCCTTGGTGTCGGTGGCCTGGGGCTGTGGGGTGGCCAACTCCTTAGCCATGTCCCCAATTACCTTACACCTACCCCGCTGTGGGCACCACAGTGTGGATCACTTCCTGTGTGAGATGCCTGCCCTGATCCGGTTGGCCTGTGTCAACACAGCTGCCATCGAGGGCACCGTCTTTGTCCTGGCAGTGGGCATTGTGCTGTCCCCTCTGGTGTTTATTCTGGTCTCCTACGGCCACATTGTGAGGGCCGTGTTAAGTATCCGATCGTCCTCAGGAAGACACAAGGCTTTCAATACCTGTGGCTCCCATCTCACTGTGGTCTCCCTGTTCTATGGAAACATCGTCTATATGTACATGCAGCCAGGGAACAGCGCCTCCCAGGACCAGGGCAAGTTCCTCACCCTCTTCTACAACATTGTCACCCCGCTCCTGAACCCCCTGATCTATACCCTCAGGAACAAAGAGGTGAAGGGGGCACTGAGGAGGCTACTGCTAGGTGACAGAGAGGTAAAAAAGGAGTGAGGGCTAGTGGGGGCCAGCATGCCTAATCTGGCTGTCATCTCCAGCAGGCTGTTGGTGACACCTGGGACTATTCAGTCAGATTGTGCTTCCAAATGTGTGTTTCTTTTCCTGGACTTCTACAGGACTGTTTCCATTCCAATGTTGTATGTTTAGTGAGTGGACTGCATAACATGTACCATCCAAACACCGTCTAGGTGATCTGTGCAGCAGGTCCACAGCACAGCCTGAGATGAGGAGCTGCAAAGAAAAGTGTTCACAGTTTACACCTGAGTGCCAAGTGGGACACTATCTTTCTTAATCAGTTTTTGCTTTTCTTGTTTATTTTTTTGTTTATTTCTAATTATTGAACAGCTTCATGTGTATTTTCGTCTAAATGATCACAATTTGATTACTTTCCTTAGCTGACAGCCATCAAATGTGGGAATGCAGGAAGTTGGCTGTTGTTTCCCATGTCCCATCCAAAGCGTTTCATAGAGCAACACTTGGCTTTTCCAGTTTGGCATCCAATTTCTAGCATTTTCCACAAATGCTAATGTATGATTCTGGATAAACCAAGAAGTTAACCCATAACAATGATATGTGAGTCATTTGATCTTAGGGTATCATTATTTCTCAGGTATATTTTTCTTTTATTAGCGAGGAAGACCTAAAATCCCTGCTATGAGTCAACTGCTCTCAATTCATCTAATAGCCTTTGCATTTGTTAGAGGGCAACACGATCCTCATTATCCTCCTTGTGCCCATGTTGTTCTTGAGGCTTTGAAGTTAAATCTTGTGCTCAAGTAGAACAGAACCAGTCATTTACTCCAAGATCTGTCTGACTCCCAATTAATTTTTTTTCTATTCTACATAAACTTTCAAAGAGCAAAAATCCTCAAGCATTTAGAAATTAATGTCAAAAGAGCATGATTTGTTCCCATTCCTTGCAAAACAAACCAGAGTGTAGGGGATGAAGAAGTTTTTCTGGACCCTTGGAGGGTCCCTGTCTGGATCTGAAGATTAAACTGAGAAGAATTACGTGTTACATAACACAGAAGACCCGAAGAAGTGGTTTTCATGCCAAATTTGATGAGGAGTTAATGTAAGGAAGAGGCCAGAGAATTAAAAGGTTAATCAAGCCACAATCAGAGATCACAATATCCTGATCAACCCTGCAGCCAGGTCAGGAGAACACCTTCAGAACAAAGCAAGATCTCTGCTGGGATTGCTAATAGCCCATTCCCCACACCTGTGAGGGGAAACTAGGAACCAGGAGTTATTCCTTATGGCTAAAACTATGGGGGGAACCTATGGATTAAAGGCAGAGAATTGCCTGTAGGCCTTCCACTCTACATATTCTTACCTTTTCACTGCTACATACTAATTCCCCTTCCTCACTGTATATACATATCAAAGGAAATGGGTTAACAAAGCATTTTAAACTATAACTCACAGGAACTAAAGAACGGTATGTAAACTGAATTCCCCTAACACTTAGGGTCCCTTTCAGTGCCTTTACTCTGTCTCTCTCATGCCCCCTCTGTTTCTTACTGCCTTTCCATGTCTCTCTCTATTGTCTCACAGTCCCTCTCAGTGCCTTTACTCTGTCTCTCTCTCACTGTCTCTCTTACTGTCCTTCTCACTCTCTACCTCTGAGAGGAGACCACGATCTGTCTATGGAGTGCTACTCCCTTTTTAATAAACTTTCCCCTTACTTGGGAAAATTTGCCCTGTCTTGCATCAGAGTGGACAGTGATAGACAAATATAACAGGACAAAGGGGGCATGAGCTAATATAGCAAGGCCTGTGTTTAGATTCCTCTCCATGTCCCTGTCTTGGACATAAGGGGGTACCCTTCCTCCAGGAGTAGAGAGGACACTTCTTACCTTGATGCAGGACAGGGCAAATTCCCCTGATTAGGGGAGACCAAGCCTTGCACCAAGAAAAGAAGAGGGTCCTTTGGTGGAGAGTGGAGAAAGAATGCAACACACACACCAAAGTTAGAATCAAAAGGAAAGTTTATTAGAAAAAGGGTAACACTCCACAGAGTGTGGTCTTCTTTCAGAGGCAGACAGAGAGATGGACCAAGAGAGAGGTGGAAAGAGTAAGTAAGACAGAGTCTTCAGGGAATTCAGTGTATATATCATTCTTTAGTTCCTGTGATTTATAGTTTAAAAGACTTCGTTAACCCATTTCCTTTGATATGGACATACAGTGAGGAAGGAGAATAGTAAGTAGCATGAAAAGGTTAAGAACATGTTGAGTGGAAGGCCTACTGGCAATTCCCAGCCTTTAATCCTTTAGTTCCCCATGGTTTTAGCTATAGAGAATGACTCTTGGTTCCTGGTTCCCTTTTACAGGTGTGGGGAATGGGCTGTTAGCAATCCCAGCAGAAATTTTCCTTTGTTCTGAAGGTGTCCTCCTGGCCTGGCTGCAGGGCTGATCAGGATATTGTAATCGCTGATTGTGGCTTGATTAAACTTTTAATTCACTTGCCTCCTCCCTGCATTACATTTTTCTCATGTACAATAGTTTGTACTTTCCTTAGTTGTCGAATTGTCAAATGTGATATTTCTCTGATATGGGAAATGTAAAGAAATCTAAGATGGCTACCCTGTCTCGGAGGAATTTTAACAACCTCTTCTCCCTAGAACACTATCTTTCCTGCGTATGAAGCAAAAGATCACTAAGTATGTGGAGGTAATCAATGTATAAATCTACCTGTCTGCCTTTGTTCGGGGCTCAGACTCTGGAGAGTGACTCCTCTGAGCCCGCCCGCGTAAATAAACTTCCTTTGATTCTTAGTTTGCTGAGTGCTGCTTGGTTCTTCTGGGTTCACAGGCCAAAATCCACAACATTTTGGTTCCCTGACTGGGAAACCCAACCACGCTGGCCCTTTGAAGCTACTGATTTGTGCACAATGCCAAGATGCTGGTTGTCGGAGGCAACTGAGGAACTAGAAGGTGCGCCCCACCCCAGTTGGGTGGTCTTGGGCACAGCCGCGCTCGGCTGGCCCCACTCTGTTGTTTCCCCCGGACTCTGAGCGGCAAGAACAAGGAGATTCAGCAGATCCACATCGGACATGGACAGGCCTACCTTGGGACTCAGAACAGATGCAGGGTGGCCCCTTTGACAGGTCTGAGCACTGTGACTATGCTGGGGCTCCCCTGGTTCCTCTGGCTTCTTCTGTGAGACCTACATTTAGAAACATCCCTGGGGTCAAAGAGCTCATGCCATTTATTTATACACTTGGTCTACAAGATTAAAACATAAAAAAAAATACTCTCATGTGACATTGGTCGAGTAATTGTGTTGTGGCTGTATTGCCAACAATAACCTTTCTTGCCACTGTAGCCTTGCTGGTAATGGCATATGATCAGGATCTCTTGTGGACCAAATGGCCCTATGGACATTTTAGACAAGACCAAATATTCACTAGTTACTTTATATTATATAATGTAATGTAATGTAATATAATGTAATGTAATGTAATATAATATATAAATAACATATTGAATAAAATTAGCATATAAGTGTGTGAATATATAATTAAATATATGTAAAAATGTGTTTAATAAAATCATCTCAATTCGTTTTTAATAGATGTGTTGGTAAATTTAATAAAATGTACACAATTAATTAGATGTATCGAAAGAGTTTAACTATATACTTAGTAGATAATATTATGTAAATTGTAGAAATGTAATAAACTTCAGCAAAATAATTTTTTCAATGAAATGACATGTTAAAACAGATAACATTTGTTGTTTGGCCCAGTTGTTCTTTAGTAGCATACCCTTATCTGGGAGTCTTCCCCAAAACTTGAAAACAATTATCCACAGACATATGCACTCCAATGTTCATAGCAGCATTATTGACCATGGTCAAGACATGAAAATAAGCTTAGTGCCCTTTGATAGTTGATTAAAGATGCTGCAGTACATATATTAAGAACAGAATATTACTCAGCCACAAAAAAATGAAATACTGTCATTTACGACAACAAGGATGGATCTTGAGATTGTCATGCTTAGCAAAATAAGTCAGACAGTAACAGTTGAGAACCATATGATTTCACTCGGATGTGAGACATGAAACTGAAAGCAGCAAATGAACAAGAAAAACAGACAGATACCCATAGACACAGATCACATTTTAGTGGTTACCAGAGTGAAGAAAGGAGGATGGGGAGCTAGATCAGGGTAAAGGGGACCAAATATATGGAAATGAAAGAAAATTTGACTTCAGATGGTGAACATACAATGCAGTATACATAATTATGTATTATTGAGTTGTTACTTGGAACTTATATAATCTTATTAACTAATGTCATCACCCCAATAAATTTAATAAAAATAAAATCAAAAACAATAAATACCATTTGGCTTTTTCTCCAAGGAACTGGCAGAGACAAGCTTGAAAACATTTGGGAGTTTTCTGTGCCCCTCCCCATGGCTGTCTGAGGCCCCCCTGCTTATTGACCAGGATACAATAGATAATCCCAGAGAAAAATTCAGTCATTACTGTAGCAGGGACAAGAAAACAAACAAAAAAAATATTTGAAATACCCAAGAGTACTCTGTTTTTCTTACCAAGGCTTGCCTTCAGGAGAAAGAGTTCAACCAGTCCCTAATACATGGACCATTATCAGACCCCATCTGACCCAGGGAAATAAGAACTCCCAAACTTCATTTAAATGTAACCTTTGCCAAACAAAAAGGAAAATACTTCACTCCTACTCTCTCTAGACATACTGTTCCTTTCTGAGAGGGAGAAAGAAAAGCCTCTTTCAAAAATGTAGCTGGAAAATTGAAAAGCCACATGCAGAAAAATGAAACTAGACTGCTATCTATCACCATGCATCAAAATTAACACAAAATGGATCAAAGACCTGAATATTAGACCTGAATCAATAAATTACCTAGAAAAGAAAAATGCTATCAATTAAAAACTTGAAAAAAAAATTGAAAATCATGGAATAAAGAAAAAAAGAATGGTTAAATAAAACCTTTTATTTTTCT